GATTGTCTTCTGGACAACTGTCAGATTAGCAGTCTTCTCCATGATTGTGTAGCCTAGTGAACCAAACTGAGAGACCATTTTGAAGGCTCAGGAAACCTTTGCAGGTGTTTTGAGTTGATTAGCTGATTGGCATGTGTTAATTTTCCCCATAGGTTTTTAACATTCTAAAAGCTCTTTATTCCAAAAACACTAAGCTAGTCAGTGTATTCAGTAGGTGTAATGTATTGTAAGTTGCTTCAGAAGTATTGCAGGTATTACGTACAACAATAAAACAGTGCATTGACATAAAAAAGGAAATTTACTTTTGGTACTTAAGTACTTTTAAAAGCAAGTACTTCTGTACTTTTACTTAAGTAAATATCTGTCTTTACAACTTTCACTTGTAATGGAGTAATATTTGACAAGCAGTATCTGTACTTTCACTCAAGTAATGGAGTTGAGTACTTTGTCCGCCTCTGCATAAGAGTCGAGTGATGGAACTGAAGGGTTAAATGACAAAATAAGAATACTGTGATGGAACAGAAGGGTTAAATTACATCATAAATGACCTGTGATAGAACAGAAGGATTAAGAGTCCTGTGATAGAACAGTGGGTTAAATGACAACATGAGGGTTCTGTGATGGAACAGTAGGGTTAAAGGCAACAGGGTCCGGTGATGGAACAGAAGGGTTAAATTACAACACAGGGATACTGTAATGGAAGAGAAGGGTTAAAAGACAACATAAGGGTCCTACTGTACCTACTAAATCATTTTGTTTTATGTTTTTCTTTGTTCACTTTGATTTCAGCTGAAGAACAAGTTCATGAAAAAAATCCCCAGAGATGCAGAGGCATCAAATGTTCTGGTGGGAGAAGTGGACTTCTTAGAAAAACCCTTTGTTGCCTTCGTTCGGCTGTCTCAGGCCACCACTCTTGGAGGTCTGACAGAAGTCCCAGTGCCCACCAGGTAACAGGTTAGCACATTAAAAACAATATGTCTGCAGAAAGATTATGAAAATGTTGAATTTACTAAAAGTACGTTTTGAATGTATTTTCTCTAAATGGACAGATTCTTGTTTGTGCTACTTGGGCCTCTTGGCAAAGCCAAATCTTACAATGAGATTGGACGGGCCATTGCCACTCTCATGGTGGATGATGTAAGTTTGATTGTTTTGTTTGTTATGCGATTCATATTTTTCATACAGTCTAGAGTAAATTCTTACCTTTCTTAATGTGCGATTCTTCCAAATAAACTTTTTTTTTTTTTTTAAGAAGATAAACTTTGACCTTTAAATCGACCAAAGATTGATTGATTTTATCCACAGCTCTTCAGTGATGTAGCATATAAAGCCAGAGACCGAGAGGATCTGATTGCTGGCATTGATGAGTTTCTGGATGAGGTGATTGTGCTTCCACCTGGAGAATGGGACCCCAAAATTCGCATAGAACCCCCCAAAAAAATTCCCTCAGCAGACACTAGGTAACGCTTATTCTTCTTGTGCTCATTTTTTGTTCTGCCCATATATCTTAACATTCATCTTTGTTTCTATGAGAAGGAAGTCTGTGTTTTCCCTCAATGAGCTGGGTCAGATGAATGGGACAGCAGGTGGCAGAGGGCCTGTTAGCGAGGATGAGGTTATGCCTGCTCCACACGAGCTTGGCGAAGAGTTGGCGTATACGGGGAGGTGGGTCTATCCATCCATCCATTCATCCATCATTCTATACCTAACATTAAATAAGGCCTACAAACATTTAAGCTTCAATGATGTTTTAACTCAAACTCAAAAATGTCAAGTTTACTTAGCAAACTTTACTATTCTAGATGAAAGTTAATGATTTTAATTTCAATTAATTGTAAATCTGCTTATTTACATTCAAATTTGAATTGCAATTCTGCATTATGTTTGCCACCTTAATTTAAAATTCTATTTAAATTCATGAGTTTTATTTAAATTAAATTTATTTTTAAATGATATCCACAATTTCTGAACAAGAATGAGCATTCACCTGCTGATCTTCAGTGTTGGGAAGGTTACTTTGAAAATGTAATAGGTTACAGATTACAAGTTACCCTATTGAAAATGTAAGAAGTAGTGTAACTATTAAAGTAATGTAAATGATTAGATTTGATTACTTGTTTTTTTTTTACTTTTCTAAATGTCGAGTGTTTTCGACTGTTAATCATTTTCAAACATTTAAACAGGCAGGATTAAGCTTACAGTAGTAAGCTGATTACTGTCTGTCAGACTTTTAAAAGCCTTCATCACTTGAATTAAGATTATAATCATTTAATTTTAAAGCACAGCCACCACAAAATTAGACTGTAGCGCCTCTTTTTACTTTGAGATCATTCTGAGATTAAATACAGATTTACAATCATAAGTATAGTTTAATAGCTATGAGACTGTTTTTGAAATCAAATCTTTGCATAGCTGTGACAGGAAACAGTCATCTAACAATGCCTTGAAAAAAAACAGTTAGAAAACAAAGCATAAACCCAACTAGGAAATAAAACAGTTATCAAATAAGTCTGTGTCCTAAACTCCTGAAACATAAATTGGTGTCTCATACTTTAGAGCAGTCAATGCAATTTATGAAAGACATCAATTAAATCTGTATGTGGGTGTATGTGTGTGAAACTTCAGTGTTGGGAAGGTTACTTTGAAAATGTAATAGGTTACAGATTACAAGTTACCCTATTGAAAATGTAAGAAGTAGTGTAACTATTAAAGTAATGTAAATGATTAGATTTGATTACTTGTTTTTTTTTTACTTTTCTAAATGTCGAGTGTTTTCGACTGTTAATCATTTTCAAACATTTAAACAGGCAGGATTAAGCTTACAGTAGTAAGCTGATTACTGTCTGTCAGACTTTTAAAAGCCTTCATCACTTGAATTAAGATTATAATCATTTAATTTTAAAGCACAGCCACCACAAAATTAGACTGTAGCGCCTCTTTTTACTTTGAGATCATTCTGAGATTAAATACAGATTTACAATCATAAGTATAGTTTAATAGCTATGAGACTGTTTTTGAAATCAAATCTTTGCATAGCTGTGACAGGAAACAGTCATCTAACAATGCCTTGAAAAAAAAACAGTTAGAAAACAAAGCATAAACCCAACTAGGAAATAAAACAGTTATCAAATAAGTCTGTGTCCTAAACTCCTGAAACATAAATTGGTGTCTCATACTTTAGAGCAGTCAATGCAATTTATGAAAGACATCAATTAAATCTGTATGTGGGTGTATGTGTGTGAACAAATTCAGATGTAACCCCCTTTGTAATACTTAACATTTTCATAAGTAACTGTAATTTAATAATTCACTTTTTTTTAACAGATTACAGTTACATTTATATTTTGTCATTAAAATACTTAATTCCATTACATGTGACTAGTTACTCCCCAACTCTGCTTATCTTTAGGACCTGGTGTTCTTGTACTTTGACCTTGCAGAATGATCTCTAAAACAATTCAGTTGTAAATTTGAAAAAAAAAAAAACTAACTTTTAGGTATAGCTTGAGATCTAAGAGCTCAAAGTGTTCTTGCCTTATCTGTCTTTGCGAATAATTGAAAGATACCTCTGAGCTCTGTGGTTCATGAGAGTTCATATCTTGATCAATATGTCAAAAAAGAAAAATGTAATGTGCTTTTTGGCACTTGCGCTCGAGGGGCTGTGAGGACTCAGAGATAGAAAATGGGTGCCAGTACTCTTTGCTAATAATCAAGATACCGCTCACCTTTGTCTGCCTGTCTAATACAAGCTAAAGAGGACAGGTCCCTGTTGAATAATGGATTAAACATCTGTGTTTACGGGACAGGTTCTGTGGCGGCCTTATACTTGACATCAAGAGGAAGCTCCCATGGTACCCGAGCGACTTTTATGAAGGCTTCCACATTCAGTCCATCTCTGCAGTGCTCTTCATCTACCTGGGCTGCATAACCAATGCAATCACCTTTGGGGGCCTTCTAGGGGATGCCACAGACAATTACCAGGTACAGCTCACAGAACATGACAGTTTGTTTAAAGTTGCATGTCGTCTTCTTTTCTGGAGCATTTTACAAGCACGCTTGTGACCTAGCTTCATCTATAGCTGTCTTCTTTTTTGTCCCTCTCTTTCTCACCTTGTTTCCTTGTCTCTCTCCCTGTTCAACTCTCTGTCAGGGTGTGATGGAGAGTTTTTTGGGCACCGCTTTAGCAGGAACGGTATTCTGCTTGTTTAGCGGTCAACCCCTTATTATTCTCAGCTCAACGGGCCCCATCCTCATCTTTGAGAAACTGCTTTATGAATTCAGCAAGTGAGAGAGCCATCTGCACCAATCCAACATAAGTCACAGTCTATTATTGAGGACAATTCAGTACAGCCTTGATTGCTCACTTTCATCAACCCTTAAAAGACCCTCGTAAATCATCACGCTTCACTGATGCAAATAAGCGACTTCTCTCTTGCTCTCTAGTGTGTTCACTGCTCTTGTATTTCTCTCTCTTTATTGTTTCTTTAAACTTTCTTTTCCTCAGAAATAATGGGATTGATTACATGGAGCTTCGACTGTGGATCGGAATGCACTCCTGCGTACAGTGCATTTTCCTGGTCGCAACGGATGCCAGCTACATCATAAAGTACATGACGCGCTTCACCGAGGAAGGCTTCTCTAGCCTCATCTCCTTCATCTTCATCTCTGATGCCATCAAGAAGATGGTGGGAGCCTTCAAATACTATCCCATCAACATCGACTTCAAACCAGACTACGTTACGGCCTACAAGTGCGAGTGTTTGGCGCCAGACCCGAGTAAGTCCATTCTTGGCGTAGAGCATGTCGGCACATCAGTCTGAAATGGTGGAGAAGTAATTGACCCTTTGCGGGGAGTATGATTGACAGGTGAGCTGACCGATCATAACGATGAATCTGCAATTTTTGTCCGACATACAACCCAGACTGGAGAGTAGATTAACGTCTGTGGATTTGAACTTGAAAAATAGTGTGTATTGACATCTTTCTACATTTGAAACAAGATACCTTCTGATGTTCATTCATGATTATATCGGGCTATAACTAATAAAGAGAAAGAGATGATCGGTTCATGTTCTGCTTTAACTGAGGCACTACAGCGATCAGTCATTAAAAAGCCACAAAACGGTATTTATTGTATAAATTTCTTTAAAAAATTACAACATTTGAAAGTTGAGACTTCATACCAAAAGTAACCTGCTCTGTCTTGTCTGTCGGCGCATTGTCAGTTTCCTCTTTTTACTGCGTGAGAACATGCGTGGTGTGAGAGCGCCATGGCTTTTCAGATGTAGCAACAGTAACTAAGGTGGGCAGGTCTTTGCGAAGTGTCAATTAGATGTAGAGCAAATTTGCATTAATTTAGTGTGTCAGGATTTACATACTGAGAATAAATTGTAACACTACAATGAGGTGCAATTAGTTTGTTTATTAGTTTGTTTTCTATCATTTATTAATCTAGTATTTATCTCTGTTGATTTATAGATATGCTTTTGTTCAAACTAATATTTGTCTATGTTATTAATACTTACGATTAACTAATGTTAATCCACTTTGTACTTTTTACATTTATTCATTCGGCAGACGCTTTTATCCAAAGGGACTTACAGTTGTACAGTTGAGGAATACAGTAAGCTTTTGTTTAGGTTGTGTTTAGTTTTCTAATTTAAAATTATTCGATATTTAAAATTGTAATATTTCACCATTTTATAGTTTTTCTGTATTTTGGAGCAAATAAATGCAGCCTTAGTGAGCATAAGAAATTACTTAAAAAATAACCAACCCACAAACTTTAGCGTAAATACTGTAAAATAAACATGAATCTAGATTAATATGCTGTAGATGAATGTGTTATTATTATTTCATCATCATCATTTTTATCTATTAACTTATGCTAATGAATCAGAGCTTATTGTATAGTGTTACAGAATACATTTCACTTTGGAGTCACTGCACTGTCAGTATGCATAAATTAACATGCCCAATAGTAATTTCTTGATTAAACCAAGTTCCTTTGGGTGTTTGAAGGGAACTGGCTGAGTGCATGTGATTACTGTAACTTATTTGTGTTATGTTTGTTTTTGCTGCAACCCCCAAACGTGGCCTTCGATCGATGTGAGTACTTTTCAATAAGCATGAGTTTAAATCAGACAAATGGCATGGTTTCTTTTTATTAGTTTGTACATCGTTATATGGCTTGTAGCTGTGAATGTAAACTAGCAATGAGGTCTTTTGAAAATAGTTTAGGCATGCAGGATCGCTTCAAAAACCAAATGAACATTTCAGTGGAGCTACTACACCTGCAGTCATTTTCTATTGCCAAAGCTGGCTTTGATCCTGGATAAATCCTTCTAACACAGTATTATTCCGATTTCCATTAGTTCTGCTCATTTTCCTCTCTGATTCTCCCTCTCTCTGTTTGTTCAGTGGCACCAATGATCTTCGATGTTGTAGTCCCAGTGCCAGATAATTCCTCTGCTCTCTTTGGTGTAAGTGCCTCATGTCTTCACCTCACTCACATCTGTGTTAGCATGAGCTCAGATTAGATAACAGCTTTTGAATCCACTGTATTTGCACTAACTATCACTGATTTAATAACCCACAATGATACTTTGTGTTTTTGTATTATATCATTAAGAAGGAAATATCAATCTGATGTAAATCCAATTAATTTTTTTTCACATGGATCCTTTCTTACTGATCTTGAGACAAAAGTGCAAGTGTGAAAATCAGTTTTTTAAAGAGTTTGTTTTTTTTGCAAGAGGGATTTTTTTTTTTGCATCTTTGTATTCCTGTAAAGCTGCTTTGAAACAATCTATATTGTACAAAGAGCTATTTTTTACTATATTTTCAATAAAAAAAATGCATCCTTGGTGAGCATAAGAGACTTCTTATAAAAAAAACTGAATACAAGATGACTATTTTGAAACTCTAATGTTTGTGCAAGAAGACCCACCAAAGCTGTCTTTATTTGAAAATACAGTAAAAACAGTAATATTGTGAAATATTATGACGGTCATGGCCTAATGGTTAGAGCCAGACTTGTTACCTGAAGGTTGCAGGTTTGATTCCCAGTAAATTAAAATAACTTTAAAAATAACTAAGAGTTTTCAGCATTATTACTCCAGTCTTGAGTGTCACATGATCCTTCAGAAATCATTCTAATAGGCTGATCCGGTGCTCAAGAAACATTTATTGTCACGGTTTTAAAAAATATTGTGATACATTTTGTCCCCAGGATTCTTCTAATAGAAAATAATCTAATTCTTATAATAGAAACAAATTGTGACATTTCCTTTGTGACATAATAGTTGCCCGTCACTTGTCAGTTTAATGCATCCTTATACTGAATAAAGTTAATCTTTATACTGAATACTGAACATCCTTATACTGCCTTGGCAGGTGCAGTGTGTTTTTTTTCTGTTTATAGTTCATTCCTATGCCGGTCTTGTATGGGGTCTTCCTCTACATGGGTGTTGCTTCTCTTGGTGGCATCCAAGTAAGTGCCTTAGGGATTTAAGGTGTTTCGCTGGTGCCACCTTCTGGTGGAGAAGAGCCTCATGCTTATACTAATAAAGCCTCAAAGACAAACATGACGCATTCTACAGAAGCATATACTAATCTTCATCCGTTCTTTGGCCGATAGGACAAGTATAAACCCAATACAAACTGCTCCCCCAGTGATTTGGACTTGGATCGCAGGTACTGTGTGCTCAAACTACACGTTCCCTACCGTGACCTCTTACAGGCGCCAGACTCCAACTCAGAGTGGGCGGCACGATGCCAACCAGGCAGTTACTACTACTGATACCGACTTTATTAGTTTATTATTATTTCTTTTTAAATGTGAGCGCATTTCCTCTAAAATACGCACCTCCACTACATTTAATTTTACTACTAAAGATTGCATTCATACGTACATCCAATAGAAATAGATGACATAGTTGAGAGGCAGCTCAGAATATTAAATATATAACTGCTAAGACCAATAAATAAGGTCATGCAAGACCTTGCATATAGTTTTTTTTGCTATATTCTCATTGCCCTTGCCATGCGCTTTGAAGCAATGCAGATAGAATTGTTTTCATGCAACCACCAGTATTTTACTCGGCATGCTTTTATAGAAAATGTGTATTTTATTGTGTTATGCATATGTATTATTTCTTTTGCTTACATTTTCACACCTAAAGAAACAGCACACATAAATAATAATTATTGAACTTCCATAATTAGATGTGGGTACAGTTTCTGTTTATATAAATACTGGGAAAGATGCCAGTGAGAAAAGTTTATATTTTAATTACTTTTTTTCTAGCTTTCTAGAATACATTTTTAGTAGCTATAAAGTGCATAATGTAACAATGTATATTAGTTATTTTAAGGAATTTTGGTTGTTTCTTTCCCTGTATAATTGTGGTTCCAATAAGAGTGCTTATACAGAATAACTCTTGTACTAGATTTTCTAGGGTTTTTTTCCCCCAGCCTGGTTCCTCTCAAACTATATTCACAACCCATTCTTATCCAAATGTGTGCCTCTGTATCATTCTGATGTAGAAATGATGTAAAATCTGCTGGGCTTCATGTCTGCATTGCTGTTCAGGGGGCATGGTTTGGATGAAGTGTTCACTTTAACAAAGGTTCAATTTGTTAACATTAGTAATTGCATTAGGCATCATTTGGATTATTATCATATAAGATAGTATAGCTATTGTTAACAATCATGATACTTTATAATAATACTATTAATAATAATAATTTTTATATAAAAAGAATATGGGGTTAGTAAGATGTCATACTTAAGATTTAACAGTAAGTAAAGACATTCATATTGTTACAAAATACAAAAATAAATTTCTTCTTATCAAAGAATCTTGAAAAATGTATCATGGTTTCCACAAATCCAGTTTAATATTTAAATAAGTTAATATGATTTCTGAAGGATCAAGGCTGCTGAAAATACAACTTTTCCATCACAGGAATAAATTATATTTTAAATAGAAAATAGTTATTTTAAGTTGTAATAGTATTTCACAATGTTAAGTCTTTACTGTACTTTGATCAAATAAATTCAGCCTTAATGAGCATTATATATATATATATATATATATATATATATATATAATTCCTGTTAAAAATGTAATGTATTACATTATATATTCTATTATTTTTTTAACAGGAATGTTAAAATATATATTATAAATGTCTGATCCTAGAAATGAACATTAACCAAGAACCAGAATTATTTCATGATTTCTAATGCATTAACTAACGTTAATGTTGAACCTTGTTGTTAAGGTTTACCATAGTTGTCCTAGTCTTTATCGCATTTAAACACTTTAGTTATCTCCTTAACCTAGACAAGCATACTGAGCCTTCTTCCTGCTTTGGGTGTCCTGATCCCAAATCTTTCCCCTGGAACACTTGTGCGGTCACCTGCAACTAACATCTTAATATGGACTGCTCCTCAGCTGTTCCTCCCTCCTGTCATAGCCCTCTCCTCTTTCTCCTCCTCACTCTTGTAACTGGAAGTTGCCATTCCACAGCATCACTCTGCACCTGAAGATCTCCTGTCCGTCATCCCCAGCGAAGCCAATGACCAGAGGGATGTCCTGCCCCGTGCGAAGAGTGAGATGGAGTCGGACTATGACGACACTGATATTAACCCTAGAGGCAGACACAGAGATCACAGGGATATGAGCAGCGAAACAACGCTATAATGTCGGTTCTCCAGTTGTGCAGTGTGGAACATTGCATGCTCCGTCTCAGCTTGTTTGAAGATCCTGTGTGGCTAATACACAAGTTTATGGATCAGACAGCACTTTATGGGTACACATAACTGTGACGTGGCATAAGAAGTTAGAGGTTGAATTATTTAAAAGGGCAAACATTGAGCCGAAATGTATGATTTATGCAATGGATGCATTAAGCATCAGTTTCTTATTTTAAAAACCAAAACAGCTTAAAATGCAGTCAATTTTATTAATTGGAAACAATATAACACCATAGATAATGGAAAGGCAGAAAGTTTATTTTCTTACAACAAATGAGAATATATTTTAGACAAAATCCGTTTATATTTATGCAGTGCAAACCTTTTGCAATTTCATCTTAGAAACCTAGATCAACTTTATATTCAAGATTCCAGTACCTTTGATATGATGGTGACAGGGATAAACAATTCCGATTTTGTTTTCCTCTGTAACGGTTACCTCTGGGTCTAGTAGTGTTGCCTTTCTCCAAACAGTCATGCTTTTTCCTTCCTTTCCCTGCCTAAATCACTCAAAAATCTAAGTTGTGGAAAAGAAACAACCAAAAAAACAAGCTTTGAAATAAGCAAATGAAAGATTTTTTGGCCTTACATTTTGTTTCCTTGAAAGTTTCAGAAGGCTTGTGTGACTTGTGTTCAGTGTACGTGAGACATTTTTTCTGTATATGAATGTGTAAATGGAAAGGTTGCAAATGATGGGTATTGGCCGACATGAGATTTAACCTCTGGAGGAAAAAGAGAGAACTTTTTAAGATGCAATAATTCTGTTTCCTGGCAACTTGAATTTTGGTAAAGGAAATGATGTGGCAGATTAAAAATATTTACTGAAATTTATGTTTTTGTACATATAAGCCATATTCCTTAGAATTATTATTCTTATTTTTGTTTATTTTATTTTATTGTACATCTCAAATTCCTTGTATATATTAACAGTTTATCCTAAGATGAGACACTGACTAACATCAATAGCAGGTTTAAAACCACTACATTTACAATCAATTAAATATTGAATCAGGTCATTTACAGTCAAAATTACCCAAGAACATAAATCAACTCTTACACCTTTAGGACTGTAATTGAAGAAGGCACCAAAATCATTTTATCCTGATTGCTGACTCACTGAGCAAAGCACCATGAATTAGACTCTCATAAATTAGCTCCCATATGGACTGAACAACATCATGTTAAAAAACATGACACATTACTACTAGTGTCATCAGTGTCCATAGTGAAGCCATCACTGAATATGTCACTCTCCACTAGTGTGGGTCTCTTACCACATATAGGGCAGAGTTTGTTCCTCTCACGTGAAGCTCGCATCCATATGATCAGGTTCCAGCGTGTGCCTGAGGAGATGGGCAGAGCTCCGTGCATGTGCCGGCCTCTGTGTAGCAGACCTTCAGTTATGTGATGCTCCACTTCCACACACTCCGTCTCACTCAGAGGCACCTAAATCAACATACGCACATGATCAGGACACTGTAAATACACTTTTAACATGCATTACTAGGCTGCATGCTTGTGCTGCCCACTGTTTCATCCAAAACTGTCAATGTCTTTGTAAAGTAAACTAAAGTGCTGTATAATCATGAAATAAAATCTCTTCTTGAAGAAAGTGTTTGCTTGTGCTTTTAGGGGAGATGAATGGTGAATGTGATATTATTTCATTTTATTTTATTCGACTGATTGTAAGCAAAAGATAATACATTAAATCAGGGTTTCCAAACTTTCTGATGCAAAGGCACTTTATTAAGGACTCCCCTCTTCTAAAATAATAATTTTAAAAAAATTATTTGCACTGATTTGCGTGTGAAAATTATTAAGTATG